TGTCAGGCCTCAAAACAAAAGTCTTAGGCCTTGCGGTGCTCAATAAATTGAGGCTAAGACAGTGCTTGAGATTAACTTGGCTTAAAGAAGGTGATGTTAATTCCAAATTCTTCCACATTAAAGCAAACACAAGAAGAAGGAAAAACTACATTCATTCGCTTCAAACCCCGTCAGGAGTGGCTGTTTCGGCACAAAATAAGGAAGAAGAACTTTTTAGATTTTTCAAGGAAAGATTGGGGACCAATTTCCAAAGAACTTTAAGCCTAAATTGGTCTCTATTACAATTACCTTCGTTGGACCTTAATGAGCTAGACGAAGATATTACGGAGGAAGAATTAAAATCCATAATTTTCGATTTGCCCCCTGAAAAGGCGCCTGGTCCCGATGGCTTCATTGGGGCATTTTTCAAAACCGCTTGGCCCACGGTGAAAGATGATCTCCTCGCAGCAATTTTATCCTTTATGCATCTCAACACTTCTCAACTTGCAGAACTGAACTCTGCCTTTATTTGCCTTATCCCTAAAAAAGATGATGCTACAGGCGCTGATCACTTCCGTCCCATTAGCCTCATGCATAGCTTCGCCAAGATTATCACCAAAATTCTGGCAAATAGACTTGCTCCTCGGCTAAATGAAATGATCTCACAAAATCAAAGTGCTTTTGTTCGTAAAAGGGCGATTCATGACAATTTTCTGTACGTCCAAAACATGGTGCAGATGCTTCATAGATCAAAAAAACAGAGTCTATTCATTAAGATAGACATAGCAAAGGCGTTCGACACTGTGAATTGGCCATATCTCCTGAAGGTCCTTCGTCATTTCGGCTTTGGGCATCGTTGGTTAAGTTGGATTTCTAATCTGATTTCCACCTCCTCGTCCCAAGTGCTCCTAAATGGTTCCCTAGGGATGAGAATTAATCATGCTAGGGGACTCCGTCAGGGAGATCCCCTGTCCCCGATGCTGTTTATTTTAGCTATGGAGCCTTTTCACCGGATCATTAAAGCAGCGGAGAGTGCCAATGTGTTAGCCCCGATTGGCGTGAGAAGTGGCAGATTCAGATGTTCTCTCTACGCGGATGATGTCGCGGTTTTTGCTCTCCCAAATCCCGATGACCTGAATGCTCTTTCTCGCATCGTTTCGTGTGTTGCACAAATTTCTGGTTTACATTCTAACATCAACAAAACTGAGATTTTCCCCATCAGTTGTAATGGAATCGACATGCAACAGCTTCTTGCCGGCTGGCCAGGGCAGATCAAGAATTTCCCTTGCCGCTACCTAGGTCTCCAGCTCCACTTCAGGAAATTAAGGAAAATTGATTTCCTTCCTCTTATAGACAAGATCGGGGCCAGACTACCAGCTTGGAAAGGTCGCTTCTTTACCTCTGCAGGTCATCAAACCCTAGTTAACTCGGTTTTGAGTGCTATGCCGATGCATCATCTTACAGTCCTTCATGCGCCAAAATGGGTCTTCAAAAGAATCGACCGTTTCAAAAGATCTTTTCTATGGAAGGGCGAAGACCCTGATCATTCAAATCCAAGTGATAGTCTAGTCAATTGGCAAACTGTTTGCAAACCGAAAAGCTTAGGAGGGTTAGGCCTACCGGATCTGGACAGGTTCTCTAGAGCACTCTGACTCCGCTGGCTCTGGTTCAAGTGGAAAGAATTTGATAAACCCTGGGTAGGCATGAATGTGCCTTGCGATGAGATGGACACAATACTCTTTCAAGCGGCAACGACAATAATGATTGGTGACGGAGCAAAAACTAGCTTCTGGCATGATAATTGGATCCAAAACCATTGTTTAAAAGATATTGTGCCTAGTTGTTTTAGCATGGCAAAGAGAAAGCAAAGAACAATTCAGATGGAAATGCGAGATAATAGATGGCTCACTTTCTTCAGACAATTCACTTCCGTGAAACAAATTCATGATTTGGTACAGCTTGGTGGATTACTCCAATTGGTTTCACTTTCCCAGGATCCTGACGACATCACCTGGAATTGGACCGAGTCTGGCGTCTACACAACAAAGAGTGCTTACCTTTTCCAGTTCGAAGGCTCATTTGCCACCAATGAGTTTGATTCTCTATGGAAATCCCCGACTGAACCAAAAATAAAATTCTTTGGTTGGCTAGTTCTCCATCAAAAAACTTTGACTGCCCAAAATCTGCTCCGTAGGCATTGGCCTTGCAATTGGATATGTTGCCTTTGTGGTTGTGTCTTCGAAGATACAAATCATTTGTTCAGTGACTGTGTGTTTGTCAGACAAGTGTGGACCCTAATTTGTCAATTCCAAAACTTGTCTTCGGTCGGAATAAATCCTGTCTTGGATGTGTCAACATGGTAGTCTGGAACCAAATTTGCAGGCTCTAAGAAGGATGTGCAGCTGGTCAGGGGAACTCTTCTAACTATCTGGTGGCATATTTGGTTGGAAAGAAATAGAAGAATTTTCCAAAAGTCTTCCTGTTCAGAGATTGAAGTAGCTTATTTTATCAAGCAAGCTATTGATATGCGCTGCTTGGCCTTTAAACCCCCATGAATTTTTTAGCTTTTCCTGCAGTTGTAATTCTCTTTCCATTCCTTGGCTTGTAACCTCTGAACCTCTGTGCTACTTTGTATTTTTTTCTCTTCTAATGTTAAATTCCGGCAGATCTCCTGCCGTCGTTCTCCTCCAAAAAAAAAAAACAATTGCTTGCATGCAGATCACCACTAACACATGCATGCATGCTAGCTGATCCACACTTCACGCCATGACTCTCACTTCACTTGACTTGGCCGCTCCTCCAAGGCAACGTGCACTAGCTGCATGTAATCACTTGCATGCAAGTCATAGCTATCACCGATCGAACTAATTCACACATATATTTATCAACTTACTCTCTCTCACATACACATGACTGAGTACAGCTCTACTACATGCACTCACACGACAAGAACACATAATCAACAAGATTAAACCCAACAATCACCTCCTAATCTTGTTGTTTTTATTTGAGCCCCTCCTCGTTGGTCATCACAACAAAGTTGGCTCATCATCCATGTCAATTGTAGCAACAACCTTTTTTCCTTGTAAAATTTGCCGTGGTACTTCTTCTTACCACTGTTGTTGCTGCTGGAGCCAACCCCACTCCTCCTCTCTCAGCAACCTTGGCCTCCCACTCAGCACGCGTTAGCCAAAAATCATAAATGGCCCATCAGCCATGAGCTACCATCCACTAATGGAAAAGGGATAAGTTTACTCTTGGTGTCTTATTTTGTCGCTGAGTCTGGAATTCGTCTCTAAACCACACAATACCAGATATAATGCGTCCCTCAACTTCCAAAATCGGTGCAAATAAGGTTTCCCAAGTCGGTTTGGACGGCGGGACGTGGTTCCTGCATGGCACTTAAAGTCAAAAAAAAACTATATGATCCACATGTTAATAGGACCCACGTCATCACCCCCATTTCTTTCCCCTCTTCTCTCCCTTCCTCCTCTCCGTCGTCGACGCACCCCCTCTCTTCGCCCTCTTCTATCCCTCCCTCGGCTGTGAGCCTAGGATCGCGGGGAGGAGCAGAGGCGGCCGGGCGAAGGAGGCGGGAGTGGGGAAGGCCACGCAGAGCTAGGCGCAATGGGAGCTCGACCATGGCCGTGCAAAGCGACACAGGAGCGGAGGAGGTTGGACGGCAATGAAACGGTGAGTAAAGAGGAAACCGAGTGGGGCAAGGCGAAGAGGAGGAGGCCCACAACGGCGAGGTGATGGTGGTCCAGCCCGGGTAGATCCCTCCGCGGACGTGAGAAGAAGAAGTGGAGTTCACTGGTGAGGTCGCCGTTGGGCTTTGGGCTCGGCCTTCCCCATGCTCCCCTACATCACCCATCCCCTCCCCGCTCACCAGCAGCCCAGTCAGAGTCGTCGCGCTTGGCGACTTCCTCCTATGTCTATCTTAGGAAGCAGCCCGCCCACAGCGGGAGGCCTGCTACGCCCATGCTATAGTCGTCCGCTGCAGCGTTTGGGCCGGGCATGGAGCTCATTGGTGACTTCCTCTGTGTGTTGCTCTGCCACCGGCCGACCTCAGCTCCATCATTCCTGTCTCTGCCGCGACGTCGCCTACCACTACATGGGAGAGAGTGTAAAGAAAGATAGGGAGGGAGAGAAAGAGGGTGCCAGGTGGGACCTGTATTTTTTTTTCACGCAATGACATGCAAAGCACCATGTAGACGCCACATGCAACAAAGACCAAGTTAAAGCACCACATAGGATAAAGAGAAAATTCCCTATATACCCCTGAAAATTTACTCAATCCCTTCAATACCCCTGAATTTGACATTATCCCTTATATACCCCTGAGTTTTCATTTTGATCTCCTCTATACCCATCTCCGTTAGTTGACCATTAGTTGACCGTTAAATATTTTAAAATGACTATATTACCCATATTATACATATGTGTGGTACCTACCCAATAAATTTTCATATGAAAAATAAACTTATACAAAATACAAGCAATATAATCATTTAATGCCCAACTTAAAAAATAAAACTTATTATTTTTTATTTTTTAAAAATTATGATTAAATCCATACATTAGTTTCACCAGAAAATTAAGAGCAAAAACTAAATGTTATTTAGGTTTAAATTTTTGGGAAGATATACGAAATTCATCAAATTTGATCTGAAATTTATTTAAAAATTTTAAATTTGTTTTCTAATTTGTGATAAACTAATTATATCCCCTTTGTTTTTTCACAACGAATCTTTTTTCACTAAATATTTGTTGAAAAGTAATTTTCAAATCTTATGCAGAACTTTTTTTTACAATAAATCTTTTTTTATTTTAATGAAATAATGTTTTATTTTCAAAAATTCATAACAAATATTTAGTAATTTATTCCTTATTGGTTTTCACAACTCAAATAATTTACACATAAAACATTTCTAGCTTTTAACAATATAACAAGGACAATAAAAGTAATTTCTACAATAACTAACGGTCAAACTAATGGTCAACTAACGGAATGGGTATATAAGGGATCCAAATAAAAACTCAGGGGTATATAAGAGATCAAACAAATTTCAGGGGCGTAGAAGGGATTGGGTGAAATTACATGGGCATATAGGGAATTGGCCCTAGGATAAAATCATTGTTCCAAACTGCCCAGGAACCTGATTTGTTCTGGTTTTGATAGTTGGCCTATGTTATGTCGCAAGTTTTGTTGCTAAGGGATGGTAATAAAATTCGACCTATAGTTGAGGGACATAAAATGGACCTTATTGTCTTACAGATTTCTTGTTACAATGGGCCTTGAGGTTTAGGGGAAATAGCCCATCGACGGTGGGCCACATAGCTAGAATTTTGGCGGGAAAACTAGTGACTGGGTGGCAACTGGTCGTCCAAAAATATCTCAATACGGTCTGACATGTGGACCCCCAAAAGAAGAAAAGCTCTGAGCACAGATGGGTGCACCAAGTCCACGTACACCGAGTGTCACGGGTTCACGACCCCCGCTGCAGAAGACCGGGCGCTCCGTGGAACGAGTCCACGCCCGCCCAGCTCCTTCCTTCTGCGCTACGGCTGTCAGAGCTCTACTACCTCCGTGAACCTGGCTCACCGTGAACCAGCAACCCATACCACCTCCTCGGCTTCTCCTCTCCGGCTTCTCGCTTCCCTTTCCCACAGTTCGCTTCGCCGGCCTCCTCCGCCGCGCAGAATGCGTCTCCCGCTCCGCCGCGCGCTCTCCCCCGCGGCAGTTCGGCGCGCCTTCTCCACGGCCGCCGCCTCGCGCCCTCAGTGGGCGATGATCCGCCAGGCGCCGCCGGTCAGATCTCCGTCGCCGCACGCGTCCCTCCTGCTCGCCGAGCCCCCGCGCGACTCCTACCTCCTCGTGCCGGACCACCTCATCGACCGGCGTCCGGGCCCCGACCCCAGCAGCGACATCCGGGGGATCCTAGGCGGCACGGTCCACGCCACGAGCGGCGACGGCGGCCTCCTCCTCGTCGTCTACATGGACTCCCACGCCCCGGCCCCCATCATCTCCAAGATCGTCACCGGCGCCTTTCCTGCTCGGCCTCGGGTCAGCGATCTCGCCGGCCTCGACTTGAGCGACCCAGACTTCATCCGTTTCGTCTGCAACCCCATCACCGGCGAGCTGTTCCGCCTCCCGGACATCGACGGCACCAAGAAGACCATGTTCCGCGGCTGCGACAACGCCGGCCTCCTCACCCGCTCCGCAGCCGGAGCCGGGCACGGCTCGCCTGACAGCTACGCCGTCGCCGTGCTCGGCGAGGACCGCAACGGCGGGACCTTCAACATGCGGCGGTTCCTCTCGCGAACCGGGAAGTGGGAGAAGCTAGTGGGCTTACCATCCCCGCTCCCGCTCACGCGGCGGATGGACATGTACACCGAGGCGGTGGCGTTCGCCGGACGGCTATGGTGGGCCGACCTGACTTGGGGCGTCGTCTCCGCCGACCCGTTCAGCGACTGGCCGGAGCTCCACTTCGTCGAGCTCCCGAGGAACAGTGTGTGGCCAGTGCCCAGCACAGATCTTGTACAAGAGCAGGCTATGCACCGGCGTCTGGGAATCAGCGAGGGGAGGCTGCGCTACGTCGAGGTGTCCCAGGAGGATCCTTTCGTGGTCAGCTCATTTGCCCTTGACGACGACGGCAGCGGCTGGACGCTGGAGCACGAGGTGGCGCTTGGTCGAATCTGCCAGGTGAAGGGAGGAGGCCCGAGGGACACCGCGCGGATTGCCGTCATTGACCCACTGAACGCAAGCGTCATGTATCTGATCGTTGGCAAACATGTTCTTGGTGTTGATATGGACATGGGGAAGGTGATGGGTTGTTCACTGGCAGATGAAACTGAAGGCCCTCCATATGCTATCACCTCTGTCCTTAAACCATGTGTGCTCCCACCATGGCTTTCATCAAGCAAAATCCCTGCTGCAGGTAATCATGATCTTCCACATATTCATGTCTTGTTTAAGATGATATGTGGTTAGGGATAGTAGAATTGTTAGATCTGTAGTACTTATTTTCCATGTTCTCTTATATTAAATTATGTGGTTAGTTAGGGGCTTGTGCTTAGGAGTTTGTTTTGTTCTATATATGGCTCATCTCGTATGACTGTTTAGAAACCTCGAACTCAAAAAGGGTGGACTAATTGTAGCTGTCTGTAATGTACATATTATAATATAGCATTTTGGTAGTCTTGGCAAATGATTGTGCTAAGCCACTAACCGATAGCCTATGAATATTAGCAGTGTAGTCATGAATAACGTCTTTGAATATTTCCTCAAAAACTAAAATTTCAGAATAGAATATTGGTATTAGTAAGCAAATCCACATTTCTGTTTTAAGTACATTTGTTATAAGAATGACATGCTCTTGGTGTCTAATAAACCTCAATAGATGCAATAATGTACAAAAATGTGAGCTTCTACTTTTCTTTTTCTGGCATAATTTTTCATGTCCTTTCAATTGAAGGAACTTTTTCACGCGACAATGGTGACGCCAAAAGCAAGACTTTATCAGACATATTGGTTCGTGCAGACAGCGACAAGAGGTGAAGAAAATTATTTACTTGTGTACTCTCCTTTGGTACTTATATAATTCACCATCTATTTCCTTATCAAACAGTTAAGAAACCATGTTAGCAAATACTAGTTAAGAAGTGCTAATTTTCTGTTGACCATGATAACCTTGTTTACAGTGAAATTGGCACTTCTGTTTTAAGCAAATGAACGATATTATCTGCGATCATGTAATATAACGTCAGAATTTAGATGGGGAAGCACCTTTGGTATGGTGGTGGAGTTGTGGATTGCACCCACCCGGTTCAAATTCTGGTGTTGTACGTTTGCATCCTTTGTTGATGTAGAGGCCAGACTTTATTTCTATTTTCTAAAAAATAAAAACTTTAGTGTCTTGACCTTGCTTCAGTTGTACATATTTGTAGTTGCCAGATGGTAGTTCTTACTCAATACAAAGTTTGCTTTCGTCCAGTAAATCTTATTTTGTAGTAAAACCTAAACAAATCTTATTCAGATTTCTAGTTGTCTTGTTATTGTCTATATTGCTTAGTATACCCTTCTTGATAAGTGATTATATCACAATAAAGAAACTGTATATAGAAAATCAACATTTAGTGTGTTTTAAGAGGAAAAAAAAAGGAAACGGGCATATAATACAATGTCATCATTCCTGTTTACTTGCTATAATTAATCAAGAAAATTTGCTTCTTCCTCCGCTCATTTTTCTTCATATGATCAATTAGATGTCATCTATCATCTCTGAAATTTAACAGTTGAAAATGTCCTTGGTGGACTAGGAAGCGCTATTTCATTTTCAGATAGGATATATTAGGATGTCAATGCTGCTGCAATCTTGAACTCTCGTTTTGGGGGAAATGTTGGCTGAAGACTGATGTTATGATCTTCACAATGGTATCACACAGAATTGTGCTTCACTTAATTGCTTCTGTTACGCTCATTTTTTAGTAGGATAACACAGTTCTGTTGGCAAGCGACCATAGTCAGGACTCAAGAACATAGATGAAGAGCATCATCATTTTTTGAGTCATGACAGAATAGTTTATAAGATGGATTTGTTTAGTTGATAATAGTTGAGCAACTGTTGCCTCTTCTGCAGTCTTAAGGGTAGAGGTAGACTACATCACTACACTAAAAATTATCACAATCATGTTCTACTCTTGAGTCTTGACCTTGCATCAGTGTGCAGATTATAGCTTTTTTTCTGAACAGCATTGCATGACTTACTTGTATACTCCAAATTAGGCTAATACAGGTACCAAATTACCAAGTATAAAAGCCTTAAAAGTGTTTGGTCTTGTCATCATTATGATTTATTTTCATCAAATAGATCATTATGATTATTGTCTCACATAATATTATGGACAACTAATTAAGAGCTTTCTATTTGTGACACATGATCTTGTTCTGATATTTTTCCTGGGATCAATAAATTTATAGAAAGTAATAAGCATATCATATTCATTGCTTTAAATAAAATACAAAGAGGTTATAGGGGACTATGGAGGTATTTCTGCTGGCTTGTGTGTATACAGTATACTGAACAAGCAGACATTATTAAGTGCACACTAGCACTGTATAAGAGCTTTCCCAGCATTGTTGTCATCATGCTGAGCAATTGTCATTCTTTAGTCCTAAAATATCATGAACTATCAGACTAAAATGAAGCTTGCTATTTCATAACAAGGATCATGGTGTAACCTTCTGCCGAATCAAGGGATGAATATCAAACAATAGATATGTACTGTAATACTCTGCTGAATCAGGACACCAATAAAACATAAAACACTACTCCCTCCGTACTCATAAAGGAAGTCATTTAGGACAATGTTTAAGTCAAACCTTGGGAATATAAATCGTAAATAACTCTCAAGTTGTTGAGTTTGAAAATGTAAAAATTATATGAATAGATTTGTCTTGAAAAATACTTTCATAAAAGTATACATATATCACTTTTTTCAATAAATATTTTTATAGAAACAAAAGTCAAAGTTGTGTTTTGGAGACCGTGTCACTGTCCTAAACGACTTCCTTTATGAGTATGGAGGGAGTATCTTTCAATTTTTGTGAGTAAAACGGACTACATGGATTGTCGTAGTTTCCTGTTTTCTTGCGTTTATATTGAACACTGTAAATTGTATTTTTGTATACCAGTAGTTCTCTTCATATAATTATTGACATGCATCCTAATGTTTTCTATTTGATCCAGGTTATGTAAAGACGAACTGACAGGTGTTTTAATAGAAAGCTAATGAATGGTAGCTTGGAGAAGTCTCGTTTTGGGTAACTTGGAGAATTATTTGAGTGTGTTGGCCCTCTCAGTTTACCTGCTGTCTTATTTTGTGAGAAACCGTTACTGTTTCATGTTTTCTTTTTTTGGTGGACGGTTTGTGTGGAGATTATGGATATCCCATATCTACACGGCGATGATATTTGGACTGAATATAGGATACCGAATATAGATAGAATATCTTATTTGTATCTCGGGTTTGTTTCTCAACTTGTACATCAAGGAAATACCTTGAGACTTAGTCGGTTACGACTGTATTTTATCTGTATCTGCATATTCCGTTAGGGATATAGATTATCTTTTGTAACACGGACTCCTTCCTATATATAAGGGGGGTCCGGTGCCTCTAGGGGCATGTGTTGATTCTCTCCAAATCATACAATCAATAAGATACTCGGCGGATTCATCCCCGGACAGGAGTAGGTTATTACTTCTTGAATAAGAAGGCCTGAACCTGTATAAATCTTTTGTCTCCAAACCCATTCACTTCTCCAGCTTGATAGCCACCCCCTTTTATTATTGCCGAAATCTAGTTTCGACAGTTGGCGCGCCAGGTAGGGGTCCGTCAAGCTTTTCGCCGATCAGTGCAATGGGTTCCGTCTCCGGCATCGACGACCTCGTCTTCCCACCCGGGCAGACGTTTCGGTTCGGCAGCCTCGACTTCGTCACCAACAACTTCGGCAAGATCTCTCTCCTTGACTCGGAGTCAGACCAGTCGGGAGAGAACCGGATTTCAGTCCCGTTTGGACTCCCAAACGCGGCTGAAAGTTACTTCAAGACCATCTCAATCGAGTTGGCTTCAAACCACTCGGGCGAGATCGCATCTTCTCCAATGTCACCAGATCAAGATGATGAGGCTTACCCACCGATCCTGATGAAGCTCCCCAACGATTTGGCGGCCGTCTCCATCACGACAGCGTCTCCATCCCGTAGGCCTAGGCGGAAGTCGGCTTCAACACCGATTTCGCCTAGCTTCAGGGAAGTCGGCGTCATCCTCCAACCACTCGGCACGGTTTCGACGGATCAGCTGGATGGCTACTACAGCTCTCCCACCGTCGACTCGCGTCCCACCGACATCGTAGAGTACGACGAGTTTAGCTCTCGCTACAACGACGCGGATCTCGACGACTTCGACGGAAGCCTAGATGACAACTACACCCCTCTCTACTTCGGCGTCTTCATGGCCGATAACGAGACGGAGGAGCAACGCCAAGCCCGGGAAACCGAAGCACGTCGCGAGACTGAGCGTCGCCGACTGGAGGAGGAGCGTCAAGCACAAGAACAAGAACGGCTACGGCGTGAGCAGCAGGAGCGTGAGCGAACCGCGAAGGAGGCTGAGGGCCGACGGCAGCGAGCCTTGGAAGCAGGCCGCCGAGCGCGTGATTTCATCGGCCAACAAGATGTTGAAGGGACACCGGTTTTCCGCACCCCTCAACAGAACGCGGTTGCCGCGATCACCCTCCTCAACACCCTCCTCAAGGAAAACGAGCTCAATCAATCTGATCACGTCGTCAACATCTTGAACCAGACAAAGACCATGATTGCGGCTTCGGTCCCAGTTAACTCCGAAAGCGTCCGCACGCCGACTGGCAGCCGACTCCCCCACTTCCGATCTCATGACTACCGTCGTCCAAGTCTCAGCATCACTGGCGCAGGATCCAATCGCAGGAGCAGGGGTCACGACGAGCGGTCCGTTCACTCGCCTCCCGACCATCATAGGGAGCGCCGAGTGGAACGGCCTCGCTCACCACCTCGTCGCCGCCCCGTCGATCTTCGCGACACAATCATACAGCGCCAAGCAGCTCGAGGCCATCATCATTCGCCGGACCGCCACGACGACGACCTTGATGGAGTAGCAGCCTTCACCGACGACCTGCGTCGAGTGGATTGGCCAGCCGGCTTCAAGCCGACTGGAATAGAGAAGTACGACGGCACCACCAACCCAGAATCATGGCTTACCGTCTACGGTCTCGCGATCCGCGCAGCAGGAGGAGATAGCAAGGCCATGGCGAACTATTTACCAGTAGCTTTAGCGGATTCCACCCGATCTTGGCTCCATGGATTGCCCCGTGGTACGATTGGATCTTGGGCCGAATTACGCGACCACTTCATCGCCAACTTCCAAGGCACCTTCGAGCGTCCCGGCACACAATTCGACCTCTACAACGTTGTTCAGAAGTCCGGAGAATCCCTTCGAGATTACATCCGGCGATTTTCTGAACAACGTAACAAGATCTCCGACATCACCGACGACGTTATCATCGCCGCATTCACCAAAGGGATTCGCCACGAAGAATTGGTCGGCAAGTTCGGGCGTAAACCTCCCAGGACAGTCAAACTTATGTTTGAAAAAGCCAACGAGTACGCCAAAGCCGAAGACGCCGTCACCGCATCAAAGCAGTCGGGTCCCAGTTGGAAGCCAAAAAAGGATACGCCGGCTACGGGAGGAGGTGGAAGTAACAATCATAAGGACCGCAAGCGTAAGCCTGAGGAACTTGTTGCAACCGCCATTCACTCTTCTCGACAGCGTTCGCGCGTCAACACGTTCGACAAGATCATGAACTCCCAATGCCCGCACCATCCTAACTCCAACCACGTGGCCAAAGACTGTTTCGTCTACAAGCAATTCGCGGAGCAATACACCAAGACTACACGGAAGAACTCCGACGAAGAACAAAGCACGTCGAGGAAGAAGGACGACGGCGACACCCCGGTAGGATTTCAAGACCACCGCAAGGAGCTCAACCATATCTTCGGCGGCCCCCTGGCTTATGAGTCTAAAAGGAAGCAAAAGTTGACCGAACGGGAGATCAATGCTGTTCAGCCTGACACGCCCCAATATCTTCGATGGTCAGAGATTGCAATCAAGTTTGACCGCTCGGATCATCCTGACCGAGTGGTCCACCCGGGGCGGTACCCCCTGGTACTAGACCCAGTGGTCCGTAATGTCAAGCTTCGCAGAACCCTCATCGACGGTGGCAGTGCACTCAATATCCTCTTCGCCAAGACCTTGGATGATATGCAGATTCCTCGCTCCGAGCTAAAACCAAGCAATGCGCCTTTTCACGGAGTAATTCCAGGATTATCCGCAACTCCACTCGGCCAGATCACCCTCCCGGTCACTTTTGGCACTCGGGAAAACTTCCGCACAGAGAATATCAGCTTTGAAGTCGCCGATTTCGAGACAGCATACCATGCCATACTCGGACGCCCGGCGTTAGCCAAGTTCATGGCCGTCCCGCACTACACTTACATGATGATGAAGATGCCTGGTCCCCGAGGAGTCCTATCCCTACGGAGCAACATCAAGCAAGCCGTCACATGCGACAAGGAGAGTTGCGACATGGCCCAAACCCGCGAGATAGCGTCTGCCCGGGAGGATATCCGACTGGCTGCAGCCACGGCGAGCGAAGGAGAAGTGCCCGCTACCAAGACTTCAAAAAGTGGAGAAAGCGAAGCCAAGACTAAGAAGATTCCCCTAGATCCTTCTAATCCTACTAAAACTGCTGTAATAGGCGCCGAGTTAGATTGTAAATAGGAAAGCGCGCTCATCACCTTTCTTCAGAACAATAAAGATATCTTTGCGTGGAAACCATCTGATATGCCCGGTATTCCTAGAGAGGTGATTGAGCACTCCTTGCATGTCAAAGAAGATGCCAAGCCTATCAAACAACGACTCCGCCGATTCGCACAAGACAGGAAGGACGCGATCAAGGAGGAATTAACCAAGCTGTTAGCGGCAGGCTTCATCAAAGAAGTCCATCATCCCGACTGGCTGGCAAACCCGGTTCTAGTTCGGAAGAAAACGGGGCAATGGCGCATGTGTGTTGATTATACTGACCTCAACAAGTCTTGCCCTAAAGATCCTTTTGGGTTGCCTCGCATTGACCAGGTAATCGACTCGACCGCCGGCTGTGAGCTTCTCAGTTTTTTGGATTGCTACTCGGGGTATCATCAGATCCGACTGAAGGAATCCGACTGCTTGAAGACCTCATTCATCACGCCCTTTGGAGCATACTGCTATGTCACCATGCCGTTCGGACTAAAAAACGCAGGAGCAACTTATCAACGTATGATCCAGAGATGCTTCTCAACGCAGATCGGCCGCAACGTTGAAGCCTATGTGGATGATGTAGTCGTCAAGACCAAACAAAAGGATGATTTAATCTCGGATCTAGAAGAAACCTTCGCGAGCATCCGCGCTTTCAGGATGAAATTAAACCCTGAAAAGTGCACCTTCGGAGTACCGTCAGGGAAGCTGCTTGGTTTTATGGTGTCTTATAGGGGTATCCAAGCCAACCCGGAGAAAGTTACTGCTATCCTCAACATGAAACCGCCAAGTACCCAGAAAGATGTTCAGAAGCTGACTGGATGCATGGCGGCGCTCAGCCGATTTGTTTCAAGACTTGGCGAGCGGGGGATGCCCTTCTTTAAGCTACTGAAGAAAACAGATGATTTCCAATGGGGACCCGAAGCACAGAAGGCCTTCGAAGATTTTAAGAAACTCCTCACCGAGCCACCGGTCTTAGCCTCACCACACCCGCAGGAGCCGTTGTTGCTGTATGTATCAGCCACCTCCCAGGTTGTGAGCACAGTCTTGGTCGTTGAGCGTGAGGAAGAAGGCCATGTCCAGAAAGTCCAGCGACCGATTTACTTTGTCAGCGAGGTCCTAGCCGACTCCAAAACGAGGTACCCTTAGGTTCAGAAGCTATTATATGGTGTTCTAATTACTACCAGGAAGCTATCTCACTACTTTCAAGGTCACTCGGTAACGGTGGTCACATCATTTCCACTCGGTAATATACTGCACAACCGCGAAGCAAACGGACGGATTGCTAAGTGGGCTTTGGAGTTGATGTCTTTGGACATATCATTCAAGCCCCGAATTTCAATCAAGTCCCAAGCGTTAGCTGATTTTGTCGCCGAATGGACCGAGTGCCAGGAGGATACCCCTGCGGAGAAGATGGAGCACTGGACCATGCATTTCGACGGATCAAAAAGACTTTCGGGCACTGGAGCAGGAGTGGTTCTAATTTCCCCAACTGGAGAAAGATTAAGCTATGTGCTTTGGATACATTTTTCGGCGTCTCACAACGTTGCTGAGTATGAGGCGCTCCTTCATGGACTGCGAATTGCGATCTCCCTAGGGATAA